TTTTGGAAAAGTTCAGTGACTATTTAGGGTAGTTTCAAAATTCAGTGACCTCATAGGAACTTTTTGTGAAGTTCCGTGGCTAATTAGGGAAGTTTTGATGTTCAGTGACCTCTTGGGAACTTTTAGCAAAGTTTAGTGACTATTTAGGGTATTAACCCTAGTCCGGCTTGTGGGCTGTTTCGAATGATGAATGAAATAATTGTCTTCGGGGGGAGACATGGAGAAATGAAGAAAATTTTTGGGAAACAACTTTGGACCTTTTACCAAAACCTATTTTTTCATCTCCTTCTCAAGACGTTGAAAAACAAACACAACAACATGATGATCGAGATATGGAGAACGAAGGAAATCCTAGCCAAACTTTACCAAACATAGTTGATTCACAAGCAGGGGGAAAAACACGACAAAAGAAACAAAATGTTCCCGAACCTGAGTATTAGGTTTATATTCGGAAGAAAACTCAACACAAGAATAGAGACCTTCCAACCATTTTACCACAAAGCCAATCAGAATCTTTGGAAAAAAGGTCCAAGTAATTCAGGTAATTCTAATCTCAATCCAGCTCCTCATAATCCTAATCCTGTTTCTGTTCCTTCTTCATCTTCATCCCCTTCAAGTGTTGCGCCCAAAGATTATGATATTCCTATAGCTATTAGGAAATGAGTTCGAAAGTGTGCCCAACATCCCATTGCAAAGTATTTATCCTATGATAGACTTTCCAATAGTTATAGAGTATTTACTTCTAATGTGTCTAACCTGTTTGTTCCGAGGACTATCAAGGAAGCCCTGGATGATCAGAGTTGGAAGTTAATGGTTATGGAATAGATGAATGCTCTAGAAAGGAATGGTATTTGGGAGTTGGTGAGTCTACCAAATGACAAGAAGACAATATGGTACAAATGGGTGTTTACCGTGAAATGTAAGGTTGATGGTAGGAACAAGGAAAGACTTGTAGCAAAATGGTTTACACAAACCCTTGGGATTGACTACTAAGAAACATTTGCTCTAGTTGCCAAAATGAATTCAATTCGGGTTCTTTTATCACTGGCTGTGAATTATGGTTGGCATCTATATCAATTAGATGTAAAGAAATGTCTTCTTGAATGGAGAGCCTCCCTCCAAGTTTTGAGAAGAAATTCGATGAAGAGAAAGTCTGCAAACTAAAAAAGTCCATGTACGGCCTCAAACAATCTCCAAGGGCATGCTTTGAACGCTTTGGGAAAGTTGTGAAAAACCATTGCTACTATCAAAGTCAAGCAGACCCTACCATGTCTTATAAACATTCAATCGAAGGTAAAGTAGCTATATTGATTGTTTATGTGGATGACATAATCTTAACAGGAAATGATAGTGGTGAGTTGGAAAGATTAAAGAATGGGCTTGCAAAAGATTTCGAGATAAAGACTTGGGAGCGCTGAAATATTTTCTCGACATGCAGATTGCAAGGTCCAATAAGGGTATCTTTGTTACTCAACGCAAATACACTTTTGACTTGCTCAGTAAGATGGGTTTACTTGGATGTAGAGCAGCTGAAACTCCAACAGAGCCCAACTTGAAGCTCCAACATGCAAAAGCAGAGGATGTGCTGAATATAGATCAGTTTCAGAGACTTGTTGGAAGGCCTATCTATTTGTCCCACACATGCCTTGATATATCATTTGCAGTAAATAAAGTGAGCTAA